CATATAAGAGGAATAGGTCTTCTCAGAGAAGACGAGAAGGTCATCTAAGAAGAGACGACAGATCTTCGTAGAGAAGGCGAGTGATCTTCTCGGAAAAGACGAGAAATTTCAATTTTCCCAATCTCATCATACGTTTGGGTGAAAAGAAGGTATTCTCTTGGCTGAGAAGATGACCCTCTTTTGGCTTAGAAAATGGTCTTCTCAAAGCTGAGAAGATGGTCTTCTCATAGAAGACGAAAAGGTCTTATCATAGAAGACGACAATGTCTTTTCAGAGAGGACGAGAAGGTTTTCTCAGAAAAGACTAGAATGTTATTTCAGAGAAGACGAGAAGGTTTTCTCAGAGAAGACGAAAAAGTTTTCTCAGAAAAGCTCTCTCGGAGAATACGAGAGATGATCTCAGCGAAGAAGAAATGTTCTAGTTCTCCTCAAAAATTGCTCCCTTTCCCCCTCTACACATACGTTATTATATTTTCTGTGTACATACTATTTTTTTCCTTTTTTTATTTATTACACATTTTCCCCAGACCACTTTACACTCTTGTAAGTTTTTCAATTTACCAAAAGAACGTAAAAAAAAAACTTAATATTTATAAAGTTCTTGAGAGTGAAGAAAAGGGTTATTCCTTCTTATCTTAATGTTGTTGATGTTCTTGGCTTGTGGACGACAGCCTTTGGTGAGGATGTTAATGGGAATGATGTTTGGGCTGTTGCTTTTCAAAGATGCTGTGTTATTTTTTCACTCTACTAAACCGTACCATATGGTCGGTCGCAGTTTTTGTGTTGTTGTGTGTGTGTGCCTTTGAGTGGGTGTGTGTGTGTTTGTGTGCGTCTGACACAAAGATATTTTCAAGTGTTTTCCTTATGTACATAAATAATGGATTTTATGCATATTTAAGAGCAAAGCTGGGAAATTCTAAACAATTTAGATAAAATATTTGTTTTTGTTTGAACGAAAAATAACGAACGAAAGAACGGACGGACTAACGAAGAAAGGTTTACTAAGTTGTTAAGGGATTAGTTTTGGGAAAAAATATGCACGTTTCAATATGGCTAGGCATAGGAAAAAATATGAATTTTTAATGGAGACGAATTAGATAAGCTACTGGTACCTGCTTACCCAAAAAAAAAAAATAACAAACGAACTTTAATTTTTAAAAATGTAGAAATACAATATGTTTACTAGACAAATATTTAATGACGAAGAAGGTGGGGAAGATAAATAGGAAGACAGGAAAGGAGAGAATATGAAAAATATGAAAAGGATTTTGAAAAGTTGCAACAAAAATTGTGAAGCGAGTATAAGTTATTTATTATTCCAAATATTTTAAAAAATATATGTATTAACGATCTGTTTTACGAATAGAAATAAAGTTTTAGAATTGTAACACAAAAATTATGCCATTCAATATCACAAAAAATGTTGCAGAATCCCTGTATAGATATGCAAACCAGCATTTTATTGTTGCAAACCAACATTTTCATCGATTTTTTCGTAGATTTGAAATCGGTGAGTCGATTGTCTTCAATATAAAATATTTTTATCCCAAAGTACTTCAACATGACGACAAAACATTTCACAAAAGTATAAAAACTACCGACATTTTTCCTTGATATTCCTGAAGTCCGAACTATACACAACCTTAATTTTCTGTTTTTTGATATTTCGATTCTTAATTTTAAGTGGCAATAATTTCATTATGATTTTTCTCATTTTTTCATTTCAGGTCCTAAAACGTCAACGGTTGTACAATACATGAAAATTGTGAATACTTTATTATGGAGGATGCAGGCCTACTAAAATGGTCACAATAAAACCTTAATGTTTTAATATATATTATATACAAATTATTAATAATAAATATATTTAAAAAAAAAATGCACAATGTATGTACTCATTTTGATTTTTCTATTATAAGAAAAGGTAAAGTATTTTATGCGCCTAAAAGCATGCTTCAAACATTAGAATATGTTGGTAAAATTAGTTTGTGTGAGGGTAACTCTGGCAATGACATGATAACAGCGCCATCTATTGATTGACATGATTCAAATGAGCAATATTCGTTCGATTTTCCACAAAATTCACATGTCTTTAAACAGTGGAACATGGCTATAGCACACTTTGACCTAAAATTTGAATTAATCGTTGGGAAATTGTTGCTGAGCACCCTTTGTCAATTTAAAATTAAAAAAAAAAAATAATATTGAATAGAAATAGGTTGTAGATAATAAACCAGTAAGGAAAAGCAAAAGCCGGGCGGCCGACTATATGATACCCTACACCACTATGTATATTTAGTGGAGCTCCCGTAACTAAAGAATCTATATTGCGATATTTTTTTGGGAAGTAGATCCTACCTCCTATGAACCTTTAGCAGATATAATTTGGTTTCAGAGGGAACTAATATATGGAAGACATATCTAATTCTGAATCGATTTTCCCCAAACTTGATGGACACATTTTTATCTTCTATACCAAATAACATTGCTCGAGATGGATTTTTTTAAATATGTCGGAATGGAAACGTAAGTTCCGAAATTCTCTCCATTTGTACTGATATCAGTCATTATTTGCATAATAAACCTGGAATCGGATTAAGGATATATATGGGAGCTATATCCAAATCTACGCCGATCTCAATAAAATTTCCAAGTATTTCCGAGCTCTATAAGACATCTGCAAAAATATCATTATTGTGGAGTGCATATTACGAATGTGACTTAAAGACAAATCGGATGAATCGATTTTCACCATATTTGATGTACATGCTTCTAGACTGAATTTGGTCGAATGTGCCAAAATGCAGGTCAATTGGTGCACAATTACCCCGAAATCGACTGAAGATATATATTTTAACTGACTATCACCAACTTTAATAGGGTTCGTCATTGAGCAAAACAAATATTGTTTGGAAAATTTCTGAATTGCTAAAGGCTTATGTTGTAAATACTTTCATATGGAAGACTCTGGACCCAAAGAATGCAAATTCGAGGCAAAAAAATATTTTATAAAAATTGTCAATAACAAATAAATTTTAAACGAAATTGCACCGTCTACATTTCACTTTGATTTTTGCTTATTAGAGGAACTGCAATGTATTTGATTCGCCTAAAGGCATGCTTCAAACATCGGTTTATGCTAAACCATGAGAAAAAAATTTTAGATTCCCCTACATAAAACAGGGGAATCTAAAAAAATTTGCTCATTTAGATCATGCCAATCAATAGATGGCGCTAAATTCATGTTATTGACAGTGTTGCCCACCAACCAGCAGAATGGATCAACATGCTCAAATTTTTGAGCCTGCATATCTTTAACAATGAGCACACTTTGGCCCAAAATGGGATCGTTAGGAATTTTTGCGAAACACCTTTTTTGAAGAAATGTATATATTGAAGAGAACACATTAACACCCCTGTAAAAATCAAGTAGGCCAAACTTCCCATTTTAAAAAGAAGAAATAAAATATTAAAACGTATTCGTTTTAATATGGGATTTAAAAAAAAATTAAAAAGCTCTCGTCCTTTTCCGAAAAGGGTATCCATAAACATTATTTTGTTAATTTTTACATTTAAATTCATTAGGAGTTCTGCTGATTGTGGCCACCCCAATAAATTCAAAATTTATCACAAATTGGTAAAATTAAATTGAAAAATTACGAGAAAAACTTTGAAAAATTTGGTCCTGCAAAATTCGCAAAATAAAATGATATGAAAAAATCGTTTATACTAAATTCCCCCTCATATACATACAATTTTGGCGAGATTCTGTAACAATTTCTATTCCTATCGTTATTTCTGACATTTTCGTTTGTATTTTTTCGTTACAAAAACCAAAAATACAAGGGGAAAAGCTTTATTGTGTTTGACACTCACAGAAAAAAAAAACATATTTTCAAAAAATATATTTTTTTTTGCCAATATTCCAAGCGAATGGAAAAAACAAATTATGCATAAAATATTAATTATAAATATATTTTTAATAAAACTACACCCTCTATTATTCGCTTTGATATCTGCTAATAAAAGGGTAAGATGAGAAATTTAATGCGCCTAAGAGCATGCTTCAAACTTTAATGTATATTGGTAACTTTTGCTGGGTGAAGGGCAACACTGGCAATAACAAGAAAATAGCGCCATCTATTTATTGGTATGATCCAAATAAGCCAATTTTTTTATTTCTCAAAAACTCAGGTTTTTTACACCAAAAACTGGATATTGATTGCACACTTTTGCCTTAAACTGGAAATAAGTGTTGTATATTGGCGAGAAAACACACACATTGTTGTAATTATTTAAAATTGCAATCTTTTATGTGGTCCGATTTCCAAAAATATATTAATTATTAGGGAGGTAATGCCCATCTTTAAACATTTGTGCAGAATGGTATTTTTATATATTTTTAGGTGCTTTCAATTCACAAAAGTGAGTTTTGAAGAATGTATTAAATAAAACAAAGGTTATAAGAAAAGGAACAAATATATATTTTATTATAAAATAAAAATTACAAAATTCATGAACAATGTATAACAATAGCAAAAAATAAATAAAATAAAATAAAAAAAATAAATAAAACAAATAAAAATCACATAAAATAAAAATTTAAAAAATGAGTTATGAGAAATATTAAAAAAATTAAAAAAGATATATAGATGAAAAAAATCATAAAATTTAACTTTGGGTGGCGTTTTATAGATTATATAAAAATATTTAGTTTTTTCTTTCTTTTTTATTATTTTCTTTTTTAATATAAAATAAAAAAAAAATAAAAATTACAAAATTCATGAACAATGTAATGTAAAAAAAACAAATAAAATAAAAAATAAATAAAACAAATAAAAATCAAACACAATAAAAATTTTAAAAAATTAATTATGAGAAAAATTTAACAAATTAAAAAAAACTGTATATGGATGAAAAAATTCATAACATTTAACTTTGGATGGAGTTTTATAGATTATATAACAATATTTCGTATTTTCCTTTCTTTTTTAAACTTACCAACAACATTGAATGTATATGATAAGGACATCTTTGGCTCGGTATTTATTTGACATTCATATATGCCAGAATCCCGCGGCTGTGGATATTTGATTTGTAATGTCCAATTGCCAGAGTTCTCAGGACGCAGAACCTTAAAATAATTAACATAAAAAGGGATTTTTTATTTTCAGTTCACAGAATATAAATGTCCCTCTATTTTAAAATTCCTTAAAATATCACATAAAAAATACAACTCACCTGAAACCTTTGATCAGATGTATAGGTGGTAGAACCTGCTGTTAGGATATGTAAATCACGTTTTCTTATCCAAGAAACCTAAAAATAAAGACAAAACAGAAAATGCGTTTTAAATATCAAAAATAATTGTTAATATGACTTTGAAAATATTTTATGCAGAAATAAAGAAAACCGACAAAAATCCCTTCATTTTAATTTCTTTGCTTTCTTAAAGATATCCCCCGTTGTATGTGTGTTTGCTTTGTTCACTTTTTTATGCGGGTCGAAGAGTTTTTTTTTTTTTTTTTGTTTCCTTCATAAAACAATCATCATAAACCGACAATATTTAGAGCAACAATGTCAGAAAAATGAAGAGAAGAAAAAAAAAAAACATAAGCAAATAAAACCTCCCAAAAAGGCAAAATACAATCCGAATATGCAAAATAATAAAAGTCATGAACATTAAAAGAATGTCAACGAAAAATGGCAAACAAGACGTTGTCGTAATATAATCATGCACACAATCGTACAGTCGTTGGTATTGGGAATTGGGACACGTGAAAAGAGAATTTAATTTATGAAAAAACAGCTTAGAAGATATTAGTTAATTTGTCGACAGATACATGAGGGTATACATCTATCGGTTTATGGCGATGTCTGTCCGTCTGTCTGTTTGCACGACAACTGTCGAAGGGAGTATCCCATTTGGTCTAAACTTGGTACATCGTAATATTTTTGTCAAACTTAGATCCAGTTCGGAGATGGGTAATATCGGCCCACTCCTTCTGGCACCTCTCCCAAAAAGGTCGAAATTTTTAAGAAAAATATTTTCTGTATAGAATGAGGAGCGATAATCCGATTTTGCTCCAACTTTGCAAATCCTTATATTTACGTCAGATCTAGGTCAGGTGCAAAAATGGATTATATCGGTCCTCTCCTTCTGGTACCTCCCCCACAAAATACAGAAATTTACAAGAAAATTATTTTCTGCACAGAAAGAGAGGGAATAGTCCGATTTTGCCCAAACTTTGCAAATCCTAATATTTACGTCAGTTCTAGGTCAGGTGCAAAAATAGATAACATCGGTCCACTCCATCAAGTACTTCCTTCACAAAGGGTCCAAATTTTGAATAAATAAACTCTTATAAAACGTGATGTAAGAGTCCGACTGTCTTTAAATTTCACACATCCCAATAATTTTATTAAACTAAGGTCTGGTGTTAAGATGGAATATATCGGTCCTCTTCTTCTTATACCTCCCCCACAAAAGGTCGAAATTTTCAAAAAATATATTTTCTGCACAGAAAGAGAAACGATAATCCGATTTTGCTCCAACTTTGCAAATCCTAATATTTGCGTCAGTGCTAGGTCAGGTGCGAAAATGGACCATATCGGTCCACTCCATCAAGTACCTCCGCCACAAAGGGTCGAAATTTTGAATAATTATAACTCTTATAAAATGTGATGTAATAATCCGATTGTCTTAAAATTTCGCACAACCCAATATTATTATCAACACAAGGTCTGGTGCCAAGGTGGAACACATCGGTCTACTCCTTCTGATACCTCCCCTACAAAGGGTTAAAGTTTTGAATAACCAAAACGTTAACGAAATCCGAAAAAAGCAATTCCATCAACGCAAAAAGAATTATAAAGGTGGTAGAGATCGGACTCTTTCTTCTGGTACCTCCCCACATACGGTTCAATCTTTTGATAAACAAGACGCTCAAAGAAAGGAATATAAATGGTGATATAAAAAAAAACTGCAACAAAGTAAAACGCCATAATTATTATTTATTTTTTTTAAATTTTATTGAATGAAAGCAAAAAATGCCGGAAATAGTATCAAATTTTAGAAAAAGTCTAGATTTGTTCGAATTGGTAACCTTTGGCACGAATTATGACCTTCAAACGTTTATCCTGACGCCACGGTCGATTAATACGAGCGGAGAGCAACCATCGGCTGTTATGGCGGTCCTTACCATCACCATGGCCGGCGCTTGAGTTCTGGTGGTCAACCGATGGTGCACATTTTCACCTGATCTCTTTGGCAAGTAAACACGATCATTTTAAACTACTGGACAACGAATGTTTTCTCATCGGAGACGGAGAAAACCAAATTCGGCAGTTCATCACTTTCGGCCAAGTGAAGTAACTATTTAGCTCTTTTGAGTCTATTTTCTTTCTATTGCGGTGTTAGTACTTGCACTTTTTGGAATTTCAATGGCTTTACCCCGAGCTCAATTTTCGAATGGAATTTGCCGAATGTAATATTGCGATATGTTCAGCTCACGAGTGATTTTTCGGCCGCTCCGACGCGAGTTTCGATCAAGTCGCTTCTTTACTTTCCGAACCATTTCTGCTGATGTTGCTATTTTCTTCCGTCCACTTCCTTGACGTCGGACTACGCTATCAGTATCACGGTAACGAGCGATGGTACGAGTCATAAAAGATTTATTCACATTTAAATGCTGGAGTGCTCTAATGATAGCCACTTGTGGTTTTCCAGCCAAAAATAAAGAAATCACACTATCACGCTCGAATTCCATCACGAATAATTTTTTTCCGGGAAAATTCTCACCAAAATGCTTTTGTACACTTGTAAACAATATAATGAGCTGTCACTGGAATAATTTTAACAGCTGTCGGACCAGTGGCTTTGAAATGACAGCAGTCTGAATTTGGTTGCAATTTTTTTTTCATCTCACCATGCAGTATGGAAAAAGGACTAAAGTTGCTCATTTTAGTATTAAGGATTGAACATACCAATAATAATTCCAGATTTTGAGCATTAAGAGACTTTCGTTTAAGTTTGTTAAAAATTTTAACCAAACACACGCGATTCAAATATGATTGATGCCACCTTGTGTACTGGTCTGAAAAATATCCAAATATCCCTCCGGATCAGCAAGAGAGCATCGTTTTCCAAAGGATTATTGTGTATCCAAAATGTTTTATGCTCATTAAAAATTGAGTAAAATAATTATTACCCCATTACTACATTTCTTTCCATTTTTGGTTCTCTGTTGGAATATTTTTTTATCTATTTCCAATTTGAACAGTAACCTAGCTCATAGGGCCATTGACGCTTCTAGAAGCTTTTGGAAACGTCCATGGCCCCACGGGCTGGGTTACTGTTTAAATTGGAAAAAAATAAAAAAAATATTCCAACAGAGAACCAAATATATATATACCTGACTTCTCAATTGCAAAGAAATCTTCTGCCGAAAAAATATAAAAATTATTTAAAAATTGAATTAAATAATTACTACGCCAGTACTACATTTCTTTCGATTTTGTCTTTTTTTTCATTGAAAATTTCGCATTTGCAAAAAAATCATACTTAAAAATATTTTTTTCATTTTCCATGTTGTACTATATTTCAGAGTATGCCCAAAATAACATCCCAAAACCTTCACCCAATGCTGTGGCTCTTGTTTAAATCCATATCCTGTCAGCTTTGCGTGTGTGGTATTAAGTCTTTCTTTCAATACTTTGGGTTTATGCTTAGGAATTTCCATAAAAATGAAAATAAATTCATTTCATTTTTCTTCGTCACTCTTGTGAAATGTTTGGTTGAAATGTTGCCTAAATATTGGCAAGGTTGGCTTTCTTTCCTTCCTCGTTCCACTACAACACCAACCAACCGCACTGACATGGGTGGCATACACATACATGCATACATTTCTTGTGAAATGTGGAAATTGTAAGCCGGCATAAATGTTGTGTGTGGGGTGGTATACAAATGTGTTGACAAGCAAGTCTCATGGGAGATTGTTAACTCGCCTTCCTTGGTGGTTGTCGTTTTTTTGCTCTCTCCTCCTTTTGTGGATGGTGTCACAATCAAATTGTTATTTTTCTTAAATTGGTTTTTATTTTTATGGTTGAAAGATTCATTTTTACTTTGTCATGCATATTCTTTGCTTTGCCTCGTTTTACTCTGCTTTGCCATTGTTCCTGTACTACAGCCTTGATCCTGTTTATGTACCACTTGGTGCTTTCCTGCGGGAGAAGGGTGGGGTTGTGTTTTCGTCTCATTTTGCTGATTGCGTGAAAATATTTTTATTTTATATCCCTTATAGTTATTTTGTTCTTGATTTGTAATTTTTATTGTTCCTCTTTCCGCCACTTCGTAGTAAGAAATGGGACTTACTCCCTCAAAAGACCCTCAACAAAACAAAGTTCAAGGTATAAATTCTCTGCTTATTTACACATTGTTTTTTATTTATTTAATGACTTTAGTTTCGTTTCTTTTGTTGTTATGGTCCAGTCATGGACAGAGGCAGCTATTTTCTGCCGTTGTCCCTGTGATACTTAATTTTAATTACAGTTTTCTTCATCGACAAAAAAGTGGAGGCCAACTTTTAAGTGTCCAACATCCACTATTGCTGATGACTGCGAAGATGCCACTTAAAGGTAAGGGAAGAATGAAAACATTTGAAAATTCTTGAAATTTCTCATTGGCTCAATGGGTTTTTAGGTATTCGACAACAAGGTCCTTTAGTCTTTTATTCATTCTTCTATAAGGATATTTCAAGACAACTTCTTTTTCTTTGGCATGCCTTGTTCTCTTCCTTTCGTAAACAGTTGGGCTGAATTGTGTCCTGGCGAAAATTGTCGTCTCTCACCCCTTAAATATCTTTTGTATTTTCTGCGTAACATTATTTGCCTGTCATCAATTTTGAAAATTTATAATAATTAATATTTAAGTAAATTATGATATTAATATTTTTAAATTAAAAAGTTTTCTAGGTGAAATTGTTTTCGAAGTACTGTTTGCGAAACTTCTCAGGTGTTTTATCTTCAGTTTTTGAAAACTTTGTTGCCAGACACTTTTAATGTTGTCGTGCAAAACATCTGGGATATTTATTATTGATCTCCTTTCCATGGAAATGCAAAAAAAGTTGAAATTAAATTTTTGAAAAAAAAAAAATAAAATTTTGTTTGAATAAGAAAATCAGAAAATGGTTAGGGTGGGAATTGAAATCTGAAATATTAAAGTTTTGAAAAACAAAAATTGTTGTTTGAAGAAGAAAATAAAAAAGGGATATGGTGGGAGTTGAAATCTGAAATATTAATACTGAATATATTTTAAAAAG